TCACTTCTATTCAAGCAGAATTACAATTATCAAATATAATTAAATTGAATGTCGTTTTTTATAAATTGATATAACAATTGTTTGACCATTCCCTTTCAGTAGATTTAACATAGACTTTCTTTTAATTCATTAATATTATTAAGAATATTTAAAACAGAACCATCTATAATGAAGTCATCTTGGTAGAATTAACTGAAAAATAAATGTTAGCTTCTATTGTACTACTAACTAAAGCTTTCAGTTTTTTATAGATTGTAAAGTAATTTTAATTTTGAATAAAAAGTATTAACAACTACCATGTTCATTCTTTGGGATATTAAATTCCCAAATCTATTTTGAAATTGATGTTACTCAATATTTACATTAAACTATTTTAATTTAGAATTTCATAATGAAAGATGATAAATTTTGAGACATTTTATGAAAAGTGGTTAAGATAATATAAATTATTTCCGAATTGATGAATAGTGATGTTGTAGAAATAATATATAATGTTTATAAATATTATTATATAATTCTGGTTTAATCCAATAATCCTAAAATAAATAAATTAATTCTCCTTTATATATATTAAGATGGTTAATATTATTTGGAAAAAAAAGAAGAATATCACATGATAATACTAATATTTTCTTAATTCTGTATTTATTCCTGCCATAATTATTTTAATTAGATTGGAGTCTAATATATGAAAATGATGTGTCTATTATTTGAAATATATTAACTATTCCTAAATAGATAGTATTAGAGAGGAAACATTATTTCATTTTAAATCTTACATTTATACTTATTATATAAAGTTATATTCAAGTGTATTTTTATTTTTTTGTAATAATTCACCTTATCTACTAAAATAAGTAATTGAGAATGATTTATTTTGCATCATATCCTCTTTTGTTTTTATGAAATACAATACTGTTAAATCAAAAAGTTGTCTTATTTTAATTCATTTAATTAAGAATAATTGATATCTTATACACTTTCATTTCCTAATTTCATTATCAATATCTAAATATAAAATAATAATATTACTAGATAAAAAGTAATTTTGATTTATGATGCTTAAAATTTAATATAATCTAAACCATAATAATAATAATAATTAGTAATTTTTATTATTAACTTAGATAATTATATAGTCTATGAAGAGGTTGGGAATTATTATAATTTTTATCTAGTTTGACTTCATTTATTATTTCTTTAATTATTGGACTCTAAAAGATATAAACTGAACTTCATTTTCAAATTTCTAAAGAAAAATTATTGATTAATCAGTTTAATATTTCCTATAATTTAAAATTTCTATTTTATTATCATGCAGAATAGACCACATTAGTATAACCTATCTTATTATAAGCCTTTGATTTTTAATGATTGTTTTTATTGTTAAATTTCACTTTTTCATGAACTTCTTTATATAATTTAATCTTAGATTTGTCCATATTGCTTTCAAATAGTCAGCTAGATATTTATTAAAACTCTTATGTCAAATAGACATTACTTATATTATTTTTTCAATTAATGCATCTAAAAATAATAGTTTTATGTGGTATTAATTTTTATTCAATATCCTTATAATTTGTATCATTTACTTAATTTTGGTAATAAATTCTTTTCAGTGTTAAATTACTAAATGTAATTAAGTTTTTAGTTTTGTAAAATATAATCAAGCTCAATCATTTTAAGATTGAAAATATTTTAAATCAAAGTTCAATTAAAAATTATTCGCTTAAAAATGAAAGCTAACATTTTTATTTAAATATATAGTCAGATATTTTTAGCTTAGATAAAAAAACATTAAAGAATTTATTATAGGAGTATTAAAATATTTATATAGTATATTAATATTGAACTAAAATGAAATTAAATTTTTTATAAATTATCACAAATCAAAAGGACTAATATTATCAATTAATTACTAGCAGTCATCATTATTTGTTTGATCATGTAAATATTACTCTTTAAAAAATAATGTGTTTTCTGCAATAAATTTATTTAATTTCTCAGCTTTATAAATTAATTTAGTATCTTCATTTCATTCAATTCTATATTTAATATTTACAAGCTAATTATTAATCTCAAAATCTCGACTTAAAATTTTTGACTTGAATTCTTATAATGTTCTCTAATTTATAAAAAATTTTAAAAGGCAAAAATTCTAATAATTTTTTCTCGAAATTTTCTCTGAATATGCCATCTCAGGTGCATTAAGTTGTGAAAATAACATTTCTCTAATTTTTGCTATATGGCTCAAATTTGTGCATACTAAAGCCTTCAATAATAACTAAAATTGCTTATAAATAATAGAATTAAATTCTTTATATAAAACTAATAGGAATATATTTCGTTTTCAAAATAAATGTTACATTGAAAATATAAATCACTTTCAAAAAATATTATCCTTATTGCAAGAATATTCAATTTTAAGGTATAATCAATCTATTAATCCTCCTTATCTCTATTGCATAGTACTTTTAGAAGTAAAATTGATCTCTAAATATAATTTATTTACTCTTTTGTGGATTGAAATATTAATAATTTGAATTATCATTTTTGATTTATGATTTTGAAATCCTGCTACCAGCATTTACTGTGTTAAATATCAATTAATCCATGAATAAACTTATGTGAAAAAGGAAAATTTTATTACAATTTTCTAGTCTATATACTTAAATTCCAATATCTAATATGAAAATTGTTCAATCAATTTGGAATTCATAATATATTTTATTATAAATTTATAAATATCTTCATCTGTAATTGATAGAATATATTTAATTTTAAACCAGTTTGAGTAAAATTGGATAAAATTATGAATACAATGTTTAATTTATAGAATAATTTAATGGGTTGACTCTTTATTAATTTTCATATAAAAATAAAATATTACTTCCAGTAATAAGTATTATTTTACTTTTATCCTATCTATTTATGAATTATTATTTCAAAAATCTCTATTATTCTTCTAATTCTTATAAAACAGTCAAAATTTTAGAAGTTAATCATAAATTGACTTGATATTAGCTTCTTCAATATCAATTTAAAGAAGCTAACATTGCTAAATTAAAATTCTCAATAGTTTTTATTAAGGTATAATAATTATTTTCATATCTTTTTATATTTGAGGTTTTATAATTTTACTTTTGTTTTAAAGAATGATATTATACTTAAAATAATATTTTCCTATTACAAGACTCTATCAAAGAATTATATTAATTTAATTTTATATTGTATTGATTTTATTTTAAGTTACACCTAAATGCTATTCTTTTACAATCAAATTATATCGCACTAGCTTTGATACATGAAAGTCAGAAACTCCATACTATTCTAAATATATATTAAACCCTATAATTATGAAAAAAATTAATGATGATGTTCCTCATTTATTTTACACACAAATCATTTAATTAGAATCAAATTTGAATATTTCTTTAAATTAT